TGATGCATATTTAGTTAATATATATTATAGGTTATGATTAAGATAAATAATCAAATATTTTTAAGTTTAGATTAGTTAATGTTGGGCTGAAAGTATTAAATGTTTATTTTAATTATCATTAAAAAGACTAAATCTAGTGAATATAGCAATCATGGTATTTGTTTAAGAAAATTATCAATACATGTTTAGTTATATAGTGTATTTTATGAATCAAAATCGAGATAATTATTTGAATTTAATACAAGCAAGAATTTATTTGTTATAAATGTTCTTGTAATACAAAATAAAATTTAGTTATATCAACAAATTTATTGTATTGATATATTAATTAAACTTATATTAAGTTTACTATTTTTAGCATTTCTCAATACTGATTTTAATTTTTCAGCTCTTTGATTAGTATTTTTTTCTGTTTCATTTTGAATTTCACTACATTTTGATTCATTTTCTTTTTCAGTATTATTTTCTGATTTGCCATCCGATTCATTTTCACAAGTTTCATAAGTTGTATTATTATTTTGTTCGATTTCAGTTATTGGTGTTTGCACTGATGTTTTGTTAGGTTTTTTATTCCTACATCTATCTTCGAAATTCAACAAATCTTGATTGCACTTCTTTCTGTTATCCGTTGTTTGTTCTGGAGTATTATTCTTATTTCCAGAAGATACATTATTCCATGCGATATCTGAAGCTATAATGTGTATCATATCATTACCTTTGTATAGTTCACTGCAGACAGATAGAATCGCTTTGTTTTCAATTGCAGTGGGAACAGAAGAGTGTTTAGATTTTCTAGCATCAAATGCACAGTTAATTTCTAACATTAAGTAATTTGAAGTTAAAGGATTATAGCCTCTTTGTTCTAAAGTGAAGGCGAAGGTTTATTCTTATTAATTTCTGAAGATTTACATGGTGCCGAGTAACATCCAAATGAAGAACATGCTAGAAGATCATATATTGAAGGTTCATTATCAATTGTTTTTTAAGTCTAGATTTATCGCTTAAAGAATGGTAACCTTTATTTTTAAAAAAATATCTTGTATTTTTACTCACATGTAGTTCAGAGTTTTCCAAAACAAATCTACCAATAATCAACATAATCTTATTTCATTCAATTCCATTAATCATATGTTGATTATCAGCAGAGATGGTAATTAAAAATATTTCTTAGCTGTGAAAACAATTAGGATTGTACATATCACAAAAATAATCGTGACCTCTTATTTGTGTGAAATCAGAGTCGTATATATCACAAAAATAATTATGACTCTTAACCGTGCGAGAAAAATTCAGAAAGGTTTTTGACACACTAGCTTTATTAGTAAATATCTCTTGATTATCATTATTATTTATGTTACACGATCCTTTTTCATTTTTTTATTTTCTCATCTAATTTAAGAATTAATATAGAAGTGATCGTCAAATTCTTTGCTACTGCCTTTGTTATTATGATTTCTTATTAAATCTTCAGGCTGGTAAAAATTCGACGCAGAATAAATGAAAATTTCGAATATCTAAAAGAATTAATGCAAAACCTTATGATTTTAAACTCATAATTTGTTAAAAGAAATAAGATCAGGTAGAGTTATATTAAAGTATTTCAGATAAAATCTGTTACACACCGTGTGAATAGATTCTCAAGTCTGGATGCAGGAGGACTTGTCCGCACATGTGATAATTGACCAATGATTAAATTGTGATCAAGCGTAATGTAACACGATCAGGAATAACGTAAAAAAAATTGTTCGTTCTTAAAATTGTTCATATCTCAAAA